CGTGCACGGCCAGCTCGGCCTCGCCTCCAACCGGCTCACGACGTGGCCAAGTCCCTCAGATGCGCTTCTGGAACGCTCCCGGGCCCTGGCCCCACTCTCCGGCCCTCTCAGGATTCTCCAACACCCCCTGTCTCCTTTGTCAGCTCCTGTCCCTCTGTTCCCCCCCCCCCATAAATTCTGGGTTTCCCAGAGTTCTGCCCTAGGCCAACTGCTTTCCTAGCCACATGCTCTCCCGAGATTTCAGCCCCTCCCTCGCCTGAGCTGCCAACTGATCTCTAGACACGCGGCCTTGCACGTCCGCAGACACCGGGACAGAGTGGTCCCTCCGCCAGGGGGTCCTGCAGCCTCTACTCCAGGAGGCTGGGGACCCAGATCCCCTGACACCTCCCTCCTGGACGCCCTGCCTGTCACTTCCTGCCTCTCTCCACCGGCTGTCCCTCTCCATCCCGCCACTCTCCAGAGGTGGACAACCGGAGAGGCCACGTCAGAAAATTAAAGGCACAAGCCGCTACCTTCATTAACATGGGCTTCGGACAGAGAATGAGGCAAAGAAAATACCACGTAAGTGATTGGAGAGTCTTTCCGAGAACTGGCTCGGGAAATGGAGGGCAGTGGAGGGGCAGCAAATGGCTCCCTTGCAGAGAGCAAGCACAAACTCAGCACCTGCGAGGGGGGCGGGGTGGGGGGGGTGCCAGCAACAAATGTCCAAACGCGGGCAGCGGGTAACCCCGACGGAAGGGATGAGGAGGGCAGCAGGAAGAGGCCGTTAGGCCCCAGGCCCAGACCCCCAACTCTGAGCACCCCAGCGATCATCTCCCCCTCTCTCCCCTCTCCCTCCACCCAGGCTGGAGTGTCCTTTTCTAAAGAACTGACCGGGGGAAGCTGCAGACGAGGCATGAAGGAGGGCAGGGAGGAGAAGCCCAACAGATGGAGGGGTTGAGTGAAATTCTGCATACAAACCCCTAGCCAATATCTCCCCATTCAGCTGATCGGAGATGTGTTCGTTTATAAACATCATCTCAGGCTTGGGGCCACCAGAAAGACACCAGAGGGTCTAGAGAAAATAAACAAAAAAAGCATAAAAAATTTCAACAGAAGGATTTGAAGATAAAGTTGAAACCTCCAAAGAAAAGTAGGAATCAAAAGCCAAAGAGATGCCCTAACCGGTTTGGCTCAGTGGATAGAGCGTCAGCCGGCGGACTCAAGGGTCCCAGGTTCGATTCCGGTCAAGGGCATGTACCTTGGTTGCAGGCAACCCCAGTGGGGGGTGTGCAGGAAGCAGCTGATCATCGATGTTTCTAACTCTCTATCCCTCTCCTTTCCTCTCTGTAAAAAATCAATAAAATATATATTTTTTTAA